CCCAACCCCTTAAATGTTTGCTGTCCGTTGGGATTGTAAAAGTAGATTATTAATGCCGGACTCCAGCAATGAAAAGGCGTCGCTGTATTAATTTATTAATTAATCTGCACCCGCCCCTCCTCCTGAATGTTAAATCTGACCTTTGATCTCTGTGTCGCTGGTAGACCAGACGTCCGATCTTAGGTTTGCACAGTCACATTGTTCAGAGGCAGAGCAGGGTCATGAAGTCTGGGTGTCTGATTTGGCTCTGGCATAGGACTGTAGTTATTTGTGTGTGTGTGTGTGTGTGTGTGCGATTTTGTTTTTTGCTGTTTTTTTTTTTTTCCTTAAAGAAAATCCAAACAATAGCTGTGGCTCAGGTACCTTTTTCATGCTCCAGAGAGGCGTTGATGAAACAATAATGACCTGGGTAGTGGGCACAGTCATTTTCTACAGTTTCTGGTGGTCTTAAGCCTTGAGGGAGGAAGAGGGGAGGCGATGGTAATGAGAAAAGCAGGGAAGCTTCTGTGGAAAAACACCACTCTCATCGTCTGGAAAGGGGCTTTGCAATCTTTCTTTACTGGGAACAAGGTCAAAGAGGAAAATGTTGAAAAATTTCCCTCCACTCAGGGCGAGGACATCTAATGCCTGGTTGGCATAACTAGTTTCTCCTGAGTAGCAGTCGTGATGGTCCTGCAGTTACAGTGTGATTCGAGGAAACTGAGGCTCTGTGCATATCGCCGCTGCCTCCCCCACCCCCTCCCAAGCATGAAGAATATCTAGCCAGGAGCATTTGAGGGACACCCTTTGTATGGCCATCAGACCTCAGAAGGGAGCAGTTTTCCCTCCTGCGTAAGCACAGAGGTGGTTCCTGAGCCACTGGGGCCTGGCTGTGATTGAAGGCTGCCTGCTAGCTTCTGATCCGGCCTGGGGTGAGGCTCCTTATCTCCATTTACTTTGCCTAATAGGGATCTGTTGACATAAACCCCTCTTTTCAGGCCAACCCCTCAGTAGGTCTTGAAGTTTTTTGCACTTGGAGTTTGGGCATTAATGGTTCATTAATCTAATTATGAGCATCATGGCTGTAATTGATATCTATTTTGAACTGAATATTTGAAACGAGAGGGCCGGGGCCCCTTTAGAATTCCCCGAACGCCACATGCTAGCCGAATGCGTGGACTCCAGAAGGTGTCACAGAAAGGTATTCTGGCAAAAAAAAAAAAAAAAAAAAAAAAGAAAGAGAAAGAAAGAAATCCGAAACAAAGAAACTGGTTTTCGAGGTTAATGTATACTTTATGTCTTTGCTTTACTTCTTAAAAGGCTGTGATATAGGGCTCCCTCTGTAATAAACAGCTAAAATACCTCTTCCTAAGGCATAATAATGGCCTGTACGCAGAGATGAATGCAAATGCCCAGTTGACATTAAACTTTCCTCTGAAAAAGAGCAAAAGGGGGGGGAAATCATTTTCATGATTTTTTTCCTCCAGGTAAACAGCACCTTCAGCTCCCACCCCCACCCCCTTTTTGCTCAATATGAAAACCAGTGACAGCAAGAAATCCTTAAAAAAAAAAAAAAAAGTGCCATGCTTTTCTCTTGTCTTAGAAAGAGACAGGATTCTCCATTAGGAATCACTGGCTTGGCTCAGAACCTGTGACATTTCTCGTATTCTTATGTACGTTTCTTGAATTTCATCTGGTCCGTGTCTTTCTCTCCTTTCTTCCCGCTGAACAAGTGCAACACCCCCCCACCTCCCCTCCCCACCCCAAGCCCCACCACCAAATGGCTTGGACAATTGAGACCTGTCCTTGGTCCATTGAATTAAGACCCTGACAGAGCCAGCTGTGCTGGGATTCAAACTAATGACCGCAGACACAGAAGGACACTGTGGCAGCTGGTAGTCCCTTTCTGCCTGCCTCTTTAGTGGGGATTGTCTGTGGGCAGTCTCCGGGCTCTCGGGTGCATTGTGTTTGCTTACAGTTTATACTCGGCGGCATTGTCGACTTTCTGGGTACTTCATCTGCTAATTTCCTGTTCATTTTCCTCATAGGGCCGCGGCTGTTCTCTACTTCACAGCATTTGCATGCCCAGGCTGCGCCGCTCACACATTTCTCACTGTTTAAATGCCCTCTGCTTCTGGGGAGCGGCGCCCTCCCACCCCTGATTTGCATGTCTTTAGCACTCCGATTGCCCTTTTCCCTCGGCGTTTGTCACCCCCGTCTTCCCTCCTTCCCTGGGTACCCCGGCTATTAATACATTTTCTCAGGAGGGTTATAAGAATAGGGGGGAGGAGCCGTGGTGTGCAGTGGGGAGAGGGGGGCGGGCGGCGGGCGGGCGCGAGCAGGGGGGGGAGCGTGGGGGAGGGGAGGGGGTCACGTCTCGACGATTGTTATGCAAACGACCTGCCGAGGAATGTGGGCGCTCCGGCGGCGTCCGCGGCCGCCCGCCCGGCGGGGCGCGGCCGGGGCGCCTGTTTGTTTTTCCGCCTGGTCCTCGCGCAGCTCGCTGGAATGACTTTCTTTATTTTAGTTGTGGCAGTTGGAGGATAATGCCGAGGGAGACGCCGCTGCCGGGGACCTCGCCGCGCGTGGACATGCGCCCCAGAGCGGAATAGAGCCG